AGATGGGGATTATTAGGAGGTCATGACTGGTTAAGGCCAAGGGGAAATTTGGCCAGGACGCTGGGGTAACACCCCTACTCTTTTCGAGAAACGCCCTGGGATTTTTAATTTTTAAAGTCAGGACCTCGGTTCTATGTCTCATCCGAAGGACGGCGCAATTTTTACAGTATAGTGGCCCCGTCACTATACTGGGGCATTAGGACCCACATAGACCACAGGGTGAGGCCCCCTGCTGGCCCAACAAATATCTCTTCCGGCAGCAACCTTAGTTTTTGCCAGGAAGTCTCCCATCCAGGAACTGACCAGGCTCACACCCACTGAGCTTCAGTGGGCTGCCAGTTGTGAGTTGCAGGGTGATATGGCTGCTGGGAAAATTCTGATTTAGAGGGAAGATCGCCCCCTACTGGTCCACCGACAACACTTGCAGCAGCAACCTGGATTTCCTTAGAGGTCTCCCGTCCCAAGACTGACCAGGCCCAGCTCTGCCCTTTAAACCTGCTGGAAGAGGAGGGTGCAAAGCGATTCTCCGGTTGTGTTGCACTGTGGGCTGTGTTGGCTGGAGAGGTCCCGTGTCCACGAGCCATCTCTGACGTAACCCTCCCTCCTTCTGCCGCCCACAGGAGTGGCTGCAAACTGTGCCTCCGCTCTGGCCCAGATGGCAGCCGCCTCCTGCGTCCAGGAGGAGAAGGAGGAGCGGGAGGTTCCCGAATCCGGAGACACAATAGCACAAGGTATTGTCCCGGGATGACCTGAGCAGGCAATCTGACAAAGCGACAATGAAGGGAACCGCGATTTATTTTTCCCATCTCCGTCCCAGTTAGCCTGATTGTGTTGGGATGTAGTCTTGATCTGGGGGGATGCAGCACATTACAGACCAAGGACCAGATGTTGTTTGATGGAGTGTTGCTGAGGAGTAGGTGGGTCCAATAAAATGTGTGGGGATGCAAGGAGTCGCAGCGCAGTCCGGTGAAGGTTTGAGATGAGTTAAACTGTGATGAAAACGGCCACTTCTGGAGAACACTGGGAAGAGATATTATTTCCCACAATGCCCCAAATTATAACAGTGTTGCAGAGGGCTTATAGTCCTGGTTCAGCCATGGCCACCCTATATTATTGCCATGAGTGGGTGTTTGAGTGACCATTACACTCCCACTTATGGCTCAGTGGCTATTCCTGATGATGTTATCCCACCTTTCAGCTATTCCAGAGGTGTCCCGTGCAACAGAGCAGGTGTCTGTTTAGAAATTCCCTCAAGGAGTAATGACCCCAGGCCAGAGTCGGATTTTCTATCCATGGATCCAATCGTGACTCTGTGAGTGAGAAACGAGCCCCCTAGTGCGTTTCTCAGGTGTGCAGTGCGTGTGCTCGTGAAGGGCTGGAGAGTGCTGACTGGCCCGTGTCTGGCTCTGGCTCCACACAGTGAAGCAGAAGGTGGAGCAGAAGCTGGAGCAGATGGGACGGGCGCCAGGGATCCGGCTGCACACGGCTCACGTCCTCTGCATGGACGCCATCCTCAACGTGGGGCTGGAGATGGGCAGCCACAACCCGGACTGCTGGCCTCACGTCTTCAGGTACCTCCAGTCCCTGTCCCGGGCCGGGCCTCAGGGCGCAGCAGTGCAGCAGCAGCACTGCTGCTGGGTCGCGAGGCTGTACTGACCCGTGGCTCCACTTTGCCACACGTGATCTCGATTTCCGATCTCGAACGCCAATCGGCCCGGTCCGCTTCCTTCAGTAAAACAGCGCTTAAAAAAATCAGTTTGCTTCATCCGCAAGATCTACAATTCAGTTACGGTACAGTCTTTCGCAGCGTTTCACCCAAATTCTCAAAACTTTGAAGCATCAATTACGTCCAGCGTAGACAGGATGGTGGGCAACGACTCAGCGGTGTGAGCAAGTCACAGATGTGACACCGCCCCCTTGAACCCTGGGCGGTGCGGGTTTCTCCCGCGGTGGAAGAGCCAGTCTTTTGGCTCAGGAGAGTTTGCTGTTGTCTCGGGAGGGGAGCTGTGTGGCTCTAAACCCGGGAGTGACCGGGATGGAGCCCCACCAGGGGCAGAAAGCTGCAGCCATCGCCTCTGCAGTGGTGCAGTACTAGTCAGGGCAGCAGGTTCCAGTTAAGACGAAAAGAACTCAGGTGATGCTTCTGGAGGGACAGACAGGGGGCTCCCCTCTACGAACGCCAGGCTCGGTTGTTGTGCGTGACGAGGCCCTGTGTTTCTCCCCCAGAGTGTGTGAGTACGTGAGCTCCCTGGAGCACAGCCACTTCAGCGACGGCGCCTGCCAGCCGCCCCTGGCCATCACGCAGGCCCAGCAGGCCGTGGACCTGGGCCTGGAGCTCGGCGCAGACCACAGCCCCGAGCAGGAGCTCCCCCTGGGCCACCCCGTCATCCAGCCCCCCTCCATCCAGGAGCTGCTGAAGGAGAACAGCAGGGGCAAGGTGTTCGAGCTGAGGGGGGGCAGCCTGCTGAGCGGGCCCAGCGCTGCCAAGGCCGTGTGCACCCTCTCCACCCAGGCAGACAGGTGATCCCCCGGGCCTCCAGGCCTGCTCCCCAGACATCACTACTGGCTTCCCCCAGGCTTCTCTCCTCAACACGGGAAAGCAGAGGCGATGGCACGGGAAAAACAAAGCGAGAAACTGGAACATGATCTCATTTTGTGTGCTTTTCCCAGGCACAGTAACTTGAATTTGCAGTTTCAGTCTCTCATGTTGATGGGCAAGCTAATAGGCACATGACTTCAATATCCAGTAGCAGCAAAGCATTTTCTTTCACTGGAACCCAGTACCATTTCTTCTGAATGAGCTTCATATATATCTGAAAAATTGGATTTATGTTAAATTGATGATTTATGTTAGTGAGTTAAATTAGCTTGTGCATTTTCTGGGATGGAATGCCTGTGCTTCACACACAGCTGTCAAAAAGAAATCTCTCTGACATCTGCCCGACACGACACAGATACTGAAGAAAGGGGGTGATTTTAGATAAGTTAATGCAAACGCATAATATTTCTGCAACAGTAGCACAGGCACATTATTTCTCACCACGACTCCAGTTTGGACTATTGTAAATAAATGGCTGCACATCTACCGTAAGGTATGGTAGCAATTGACACAGGGCATTCTAGGCCAGAGCCCATTTCTGTTAAGCCCAGAGCTCATAATGCTCCTTGCTGAGGCTTATATTTTAAACTACTTACTGGAATATGAAGGGGTTTAATGGCCCTCTCTCAAGCTGCCTTGTGCTTCGGTTTATTTTGTAGCTCGTTTGTCGAGGTGAAAGCTGCATAAATACCTATTTGGAGACTCTCCCTTTCTTCTATAGCGCAGAGCCCTGGGCTCTGGGCACTGTGCTTCCTTTTGTAATAATTTTGTAGCTGAGCAGGAGGGGACCTCTGGTCCTCCAGAGCTGCGGTCTGGCGTGCTTTCAGCCCTGGCCAGAAACATAAAGTCACTTATACTGTAGATAAGATCAGCTCACTTTATTGGCCATATATAATTTTCTTGTATTAGGAATGTGTCTTTTTCGCAGACCCCAGCTTGCTCTCCATGAGACACACAGACAGGGAGAGAAGCTTGGGGTCAGATCGCAGGGTCAGCCATTTATACGGCACCCCTGGAGAAGTTGGGGTTAAGGGCCTTGCTCAGGGGCCCAACAGAGTAGGATACAAACCGGAAGCCTTCCAGCTACAGGCACAGATCTTTAGCCACAGAGCCACCGCGCTGCCCGGTGTTTCGTGGGATGTAATAAGGAGACGTAGTGGGATAAGAGAACCAATCCACATGAGGTTCAAAGACACAGAATTTTTCTGCCCACCCAACACTGAAATGCAGACGCAAGACTTCTTGAAGGAACGTTCCCGTCCCTGCCTGCTGGAGATGCTGACAGATGATCTCTTTGTGTTTGTTTGTTAGGTTGTTTGAAGATGCTGCAAACAAGCTTAACCTCGTGGCTCTGGTGGGGTTTCTTCATCAGCTGAGAAAGGCCTCCCAGTCGCAGCTCTTCAAATCGGCCACAGAGACAGGGGACTACTCCTTAGCCATGCCTGGTACTGTACCCTTGTGCTTCTTTCCCTGGAGGGGATTTAGCGATAGAATGGGTGTTCTGCCCACCCTGTCTGTTTATCCCTGTCTGCCTCATTTAGACCCAGGAGCAGGACTCTCACCTGTGTCTGCTGCTCTCTCTCCCTCAAGGGGAGGCCAAGTCCACTCAGGACCGCCGGAGCGCGCTGCACCTGTTCCGCCTGGGGGAGGCGATGCTGAGGATCGTCAGGAACAAGACGCGCCCCCTGCTGCACATGATGAGGGCCTGGAGCGTGGTGGCGCCACACCTGGTGGAGGTACGATAGCTGACTGGCAACAGTACTCTGCCCCAGAGGATTGTCCCTCAGATACGACTCTCATTGCACTACAGTTTGATCTATTTCAGACTGCTTGAGTGGTAGGATCTTTGCAAAAAAAAAAATCAGCATTACGATGTAGAATTTCTTCCATTTTTCAGAATTTAAGTCCTGTGCTGATCTACTCTAAACGTGCAGCTTATAAAGTCTGTAATGCATTGCAGTACTGTTCAAAAGGAGTGAGAGACACAAACAGGGAGAGAGAAGCTTGGGGTCAGAGCGCAGGGTCAGCCATTCATACAGCACCCCTGGAGCAGTTGGGGTTCAGGGCCTTGCTCAGGGGCCCAACAAAGTAGGATTCCTCTGCCTGCCGCAGGATTTGAACCGGCATCCTGCCAGCCACAGGCGCAGATCCACCACACCACCCCATGAAACCAGCAGACAATTTCAGACTGTAAAAAAGCTGACGCCTGTCTAAGTCACTCCATATGTATTCAGGAGATGCTACCCCGAGCAACGACAGTCATCCTCTGTTATGAAAATGACAAATGCTCTAAAACTGCAAGTGCTGTTAGTGTATCGCTGTGTGGAAATCAGCACCAGCTGTTCCTTACATTTTCCCGTTTCATTCATGTGATAATGCCCTGTTCTTAGAGTTCTTAGCTCTTCCTGGGTTGAGAGCACCATTGGCATGGCTTTACACTGCTGAAATAACGGGTCTTCCAGTTCCGGGTTCGGTTTGCGTCACGTCGCTGTCCTGTGATTGGACTGCAGGCCGCGTGCCACAAGGAGAGGCACGCCTCTCAGAAGGCGGTCTCCTTCATCCACGACGTGCTCACGGAGGTGCTGACCACCTGGGCCGAGCTGCCCCACTTCCACTTCAACGAGGCCCTGTTCCGGCCCTTTGAGCACATCATGCAGCTGGAGCTGTGCGACGAGGACGTGCAGGACCAGGTAAATCCCCCCCCGCCCGTCTGCACACCTGCCTGGCTGGACTGTCTGCCCGAAAGGGAGGTGGGCAGGTAGGATCCGAGCGCGGCAGAGGAAGACGAGACTATTTCCCGTTTGGGGATGTAATAATAATAATAATAATAATAATAATAATAATAATAATAATTGCTTACACTTATATAGCACTTTTCTGGACACTCCACTCAAAGCGCTTTACAGGTAATGGGGACTCTCCTCCACCACCACCAATGTGCAGCCCCACCTGGATGATGCGACGGCAGCCATAGTGCGCCAGAACGCTCCCCACACACCAGCTACCAGTGGGGAGGAGAGCAGAGTAATGTAGCCAATTCATAGATGTGGTGGATGTGGTTGTGAAAGAGGCTGGCTAGCTCCAACTTGCTCGTGTGAAAAATACCAGGTGGTCTGTAGTAGCAGCAGTGCTAACAGGACCTCAGGTCAGGTTTTCATCCAAAATACCAAAACCTGGAATCAACATCTGGGCAGGGAGCCTCAGTTTATAGAAGCCATTAGTCTTAAAGCTTGGGGAGAGGAAGCTCCGGTTGTGGTTGTTTTTCGGTTCGGAAAAACGAGCTTTGTAAAATGCTCCCATTCATTTAGTCTGTTATACTGGCTTTGCTGCTGCATTAGTTTTGCATTGTATTTCTCTTTTTCAGCTCATTCACATTCAGCTGGACATTGCTTTTGCACGCAGTATGTTTTAGGAGTCTGTCCCTTTAGTAAAGCTCTTAATGAATTTTTAATAAACGAGCTTCCTTACGCCTGGGTTGTTATCTTGCGGCAGGTGATCACATCCATAGGCGAGCTGGTGGAAGTGTGCTCCCCCCAGATCCAGTCGGGGTGGCGGCCCCTCTTCAGCGCGCTGAGGACTGTGCACGGGAGCAAGACGGACATCAAGGACTACCTGGTGGGAGAGTACTCCATGGGTAAGGTTAACGAGCGCCCGGTCTCGCCCAGTGGAAGACTTGGACAAACGGGACAGGACGACAGCTGTCTCATCGCCGCACGCAACCTAGCTGGACATGAATCCTCACAGCAGTTGTGTTTTGCCCGTGTTGTCCAGACGCCTCTTTCTTGTCTCGCAGGAAAATGCCAGGCTCCAGTGTTCGATGTCTTTGAAGCTTTCATCAACACAGACAACATTCAGGTGTTCGCCAACGCTGCTACGGATTATATCATGTGCCTTATGAAGTTCGTCAAAGGTTTAGGTGAGCAAGATGAGTGCACGTGTGCAAGGTGGCACACAGGGTTTCTGCCTCCTGGCCTGTGCAGATCGCGGTTTCTTGTGTTGAGCCCCCACATCTGTAAAAAGGGAATTGTCTAGTTTATATCGCCTATAATAGAGTCCACAACTTCTTTATCTGCTTTTAATGTTCTGGCTCCCAGAGGAGTTCAGAACCATGCAGTGCAACCAGCCTGTTGATCAGCTGGAGTCACAGATAGGATCACATCCTATCTGTGAATTGATAGGCCCATCTCCTGGGAAAAGAGACTCCAGTCCAGGACAGTCCCCGTGTAGCTGCACTCTGATGAGTTCTGAGTAATTTACCTTCTGTCCTTCTCTCGATGTGACGCACAGCTGTCAAGGAGACGGCTCTTGATAGTACACCCATCCTTTGGTTTTAGAAGCGTAATTTGTTCCTCGAAAGCAGTTTGGAAGGTAAAAAATTCCTAAACCCAACCAAAATTCCCATTACTTTATATGTAAAATTTTCCAGATCGGTCGTGAGGTCTAGAGAATCTCTTTTACAATAGCAGAGCACTGAATCATCGAAGAAAGATCAGCACAGCTGGTTTATGGTAGTTACTCTGTTTACCCCAGTACAGCGGTTAAAAAGATAACTAGAAAGCACATATAAAATGTGGAACAATTCTAAGAACACAGTCACCACATTGAGGAACTGTGTGGTGGGTGGTCATGCTATGAGTACTGTATCTAATGTTGGACTGCAATGGAGACACCTTTGTTATACAGTAGCAAGCTTTGTAACTGAATAACAGGTATGATAATGCATTCCCTGCTACAGTGAAAATGTCTGCACCAGGCGTTCTTCAATCAAGGGATGGGTGTACTGTTAGAGAATTGTGACAGTTGTCAGGAATGCTGATTTATAGCTTCAGGCTCTAATTCGCTCAGGCAGATTTTCATACCTGACGTGACACTTGACTTAATCCCAGTTCCTCCCCTTTTCCCAGGAGAAGTGGACTATAAGGAGATTGGAGACTGTGTCCAGGCCTCAGGGTACAGCTCCACCGACCTGTGCCTTCCGGCGCTGGATTACTTACGGAAGTGCTCCCAGGTAAGGGCAGAGGGTCCTTTCATTTGTGTGCGCCGGCACATCTGGGGAAAGCTGAGAGAGACGGGCAGAACCGTCGGCACTGTGGCGGATTCGGACAGCAGTAATCCTGATCCCAGCAGCAAGGGTGAACCGCTCTCCCAGGGATTGGGGGAGGGAGGCCCGGGCGTGGCGGGATGAGTTCTGTTTCCAGACGGCCGGTCTCTCTCACTCACTTATCTTGACGAAAACCGCCCCGACGGGTACCGGGGGCAGTGGGAGGCGAGAGGGGTCACCTGGCTAGGTCTCGCTGCAGTGAGCCTCGTGGCATCCGCTATGCAAACTGTAAGGGCAAATGCCTGGCAATAAAATATTGCACATCAGCGCTAAACTCTATTTTCCAAATCAAAAAAAAAATAACGGAGCCAAGGAAAATCTGGCCTTATTTTTTGCCAGCAGATTTATTTAAACCTCTGCTCTACGTAATGAATATCTTTCGACATGGAAGCTGTCCAGCTGAAATCCGTGCACCGTGGACCCTACCTGAAAGGGGGGGTTGTATTTTGTGACCTCCACCGAGATCTCCTGTGAGATCTGCGATCCCTGCTCCTGCAGTGTGGCCAGGCAGGAGTACGCCAAGCAGGGCGCATCAACAGGGTGCCAGGCAGCTGCCAGGATAGCTAACCCATCCCTTAAAACGGAAAACACGAATGACATTTCTTAGGGATATTCACCATCCCAATAAATCCCAGAAAAAAATAAAAACTAAAAATAAATATTGCAGCTGCTGGCCAAGATCTACAAGATGCCTTCTAAGCCGGTGTTCCTGGGCGCCCGGCTGGCCAGCCTACCTACGAGGGCGCAGGAGAGATGCGCCGGCAGCGACGACGGCATGGACTCCATCCTCGCGGAGTTCGACGACGAAACAGGTGTGGAAACTTCACCTTCCGGCACACAGCTGCCCGTTCGGCCATTTTAACACCTGCAGGGCTTTGGTGGGCCCAGAAAAAGTCTCGGCAAGAAAGAGCGGGACGGTTTTGAATTCATTCCCGCCTGAGCACCCGATCAGCCCGAAACGGGGACGTTGAACAGAACCTGCTTTGCTCTGCAGGGCTGATCCAGGTCTGGATCCTCCTGCTGGAGCAGCTGACGGCCACGGTGTCCCACTGCCCGCGCCAGCACCAGCCGCCCACCCTGGAGCTGCTCTTCGAGCTCCTCAGGGAGGTGACCAAGATCCCAGGCGAGTGTCGGCCCGCGGCTCAGCGGGCGGCGCTTTTCAAGACGTGCCCCGTCGTTTCCCAGTCGGGAAACGGGCTTGGGCCCGTCGTGCGTTCGGCGACCTGCGGGAATGGGCGGGCGTCTCTGGCCAGCGGATGACTTTCCGAGATCACGAGCCAAGCAGAGTGTGATGTGGATATTGTAGAATCAGCAAATTGACTCGGGTTCCGTCGGGAGTGTTTATTGTGTAGGAGCAAGCACTTGGCGGGATAGCAAAGTGGAGCTCAAACGGCAGTGGATCTTCCCAGCATGTATATAGTATAATGAGCTGGTTACAAAGTTCTTGTCGTGAGGGTTGCTAAGCAGCAGAGCTCGATCCGTGAGAGGACGAGTACAAGAATGAGAGGCACAAGAGTGCAGGTGTCGCGCACACGGGATCAGGGCAGAACGCCCAGGACGTCAAGGCCAGGGTATTTACTGAACTAGAAACTTAGACTTAACGTGCTAAAAACTTTTTGCACTCTTTATTACCTCAGATGTGAAGTTTTAAGGTAGAATTATTCATTTGAATTAGATCATTTGGCTTGGCTGTAAAATTATAGATGCAGCACATTACGTACGCGAAGCTACATGTACATAGTTACATTGGCTAAATGCATAGTGCAGCCATCAAGTGCAGGATTCAATGTGCAATTAACAGCACAATGCATGATTTCCAAAATTACAGTATCATATAGGTTAACAAAAAACAGCCAAGTGATTCATAGCTGTAAGTATGGAGCTGAGCGACTCCTGGCTGCCTTTTTTCCCTTCCTTGCCCTGTTTGCTGTTTCAGCTGTTTTCTGAACGGAAGTCTATTCTGTTCTGTTTCCAGGACCAGGGTTCGCCATATTCTCAGTTATCCAGCTGCTCCTACCTGTGATGTCACTCTGGCTGCAGCGTAGCCACGGCGACCATTCCTACTGGGATGTGGCTGCCTCCAACTTCAAGCATGCTATTGGCTTGTCCTGCGAGCTGGTGGTGGAGCACATTCACAGCTTCATCCACTCTGGTAAGGAGCTCCTCCAGGATGTAATATGATCCATATTCTCCCCAGGATTGTGCCTCTTGACAGGTGTGCCCTGTATCTTACTCGGCATGCCAAAGACTACAAAGGTTACTATTCTGCCCATCTGATTGATTGCTAGTAGCTAACTGATCTGACAATCTTATCCAGCTGTTTGTTAAAAGAAACAGTGCTTTTGGCTTTGACAGCATGCCTGGGTAGCTTGTTCCTGACCTACCTGGAGGAGAAACAAAGCCCTAAGGAGTTGCACACAACTGAAGTTTTCAAAACTGTAGGTTTTGATACAGATTGATGAAGCAGGAAAGCACAACAGTGTGAATCTAGAGTAAATAATATTAGCACAATGCCAATTTACTGGAAATAATTATGAAATTAGCCTTTCAATGCCTAGCCTGAGCTGCTCCTCTCCTTTCGCCGCAGATATCGGCTATGAAAGCACGATCAATCTGATGCTGAAGGACCTCTTCAAGCTCTTGGTGGCCTGTGTGGCTGAGCCAGCAGAGACCATCTCCAGAGTGGGCTGCTCCTGCATCAGGTGAGCGTATGTCCTGGTTCACCAGCAGTTTACTGCCTCCAGGCCTTGCAGAGTTCTTCACAGGACCAGCACCCAGGTGCTGTGAGCACCGCTCGTCCTTAAACTGAGCCATCATGGGCTTCTCCACTCAAGAGAACCATGGGCAGAGCTTCCAGAAAGACACTCTGCCATTATGACAGTTCATTTCAGTCTCTCCTCTTTAGGGCTGTGCTGCTTTTTTTAGGTACTTGAGCAAATTTAAACAAGGCTATTGTCCAGTGTACCCAGAAAAGAGGCTTTGTCACTTCTTGCTTCAGCGGGTACAGTCTATACTGTAAAAAGAAAGCTCAGTCCCCAAGTGCCTCTTCTGCCATGTCACGAGGGCTCAGAATGAGCGGAAGGGACTTTTTCTGTTGTAGTAAGAGCTCTTTCCTGAAGCCTGTGTGTGGTGCTGCCCGTGCGTGTGAGAGGTGAGCTGTGGTGTCGTGGCAGGTATGTCCTGGTGACTGCTGGCCCGGTCTTCACCGAGGAGATGTGGAGGCTGGCCTGCTGCGCACTGCAAGATGCCTTTTCAGCTACCCTGGAGCCCGTCAAGGTAAAGAGTCCTGTTATACCCATGGGTTTCCCTCAATACTAATAATACATTGTAATTTTATATAGCTCCCGAGAGGAGGTAACAGAGTTACTCAGTTGAAAATGAGGGTTTGAATCCAGAAGAAAAGCAAAGGTGCAGACACAGAACCAGTTAAGTAAAAGCCCCTCTAAAGAGGTTTTTTTAGTCTAAATTGGAAGAGCTCAGGGCAGGTGACTCTCTGATATCCTTAGGGATTGAATTCCAGAGCTTTGGGGCATACTGGAATAAGAAGTTGTGATGTGGGGAGTAGGACGATAGTAGCTCAGACAGTAACTGTGGTGCCAAGCCATACAGAGCCTTATAGGTGAGCATGAGGATTTTGAAGTCGACATAAAACCTTACAGGAAGCCAGTGTAAGGACTCCCGGACAGGAGTATTGTGATCATTTGCACTAGACCTGGTCAGGATTCTGGCTGATGAATTCTGCTCATACTGTAGTTTGTTCAGTGTGGATTTAGATATCCAGAGTGTAGAGCACTACAATAATAAATTCAAGAGAAAACAAAAGTATTGTCCAGCTTTTCAGCAACAGTTAGCAACAGCATCGGATGTAGTCTGACAATATTTCTGAGGTGGAAGAATGATGTTTTTACAATATATTGCACAGAGGGGTCCAACGTCAAGCCTGGATCAAATATCACCTGCAAGCTATTCAATTTAGATTGAAACTCAAGTGCAGTATCATCCACAGATAAGATTATTGCATTGGCTTTACATAGTTGATGGAGGGTGGTGAGAAGCAAGTCTTGTCACTTTAAATGAAGGAAATTGTGAGTCATCCATGTTTTTATGTCAAAGATGCAGTTAGAGACAGCCACTTTAGTGTCAGTTTTAGTATGGACATAGATTTGAGTGTCATCAGCGTAGAATGTAATTTAGACACAAGTGGAAACATGTAAATATTGAACCATAGAGGGGAAGCTGAAGAGATTGTGAGTCTATCCCTTATCAAAAAAACACATATTCCTGGCTAGGACACCAGCAGCTCGGAGTCTAATCCAGAGGCGTAGGGCAGGGATGAGCAACCAAAATCCTGGAGGACCAATGTGTCTGCAGGTTTTCATTCCAGCTCGGCACTTAACGATGCACACTTTTATTATTGGCTTAATGGGATCAGTTTAACAGCTTCGGCTTCACTATTGCTGGTACTTCGATGAGACCTTGACAGCCAGCAGGAGTAGGACTGCCCAGGTCTGATATAGGGCTTAAAGGAGTCCCACACCCTGGACAGGGTACTTAACCCATCACAGGGCTCGCACACAGGGAACATTTAGAAATGCAAGTTAGCACAGCCAGCAGATCCAGAGAACATGCAGACTACACAGGAGCTGTCTCAGCCAGGAATTGAACCCAGGTCTTCAGTACTGGCCACTAAACATGAAACAGCTAAATTCAACTCTAGGTTTTTATGATCTGGTCTCCCTCATTCTCCTTATTTCAGAGAAATAAATTCTAAATGCTCTGCCTTCTATATGTTAAGCGTTTTGAGATCCCCTGAGGTGCAAAATGTTATATAGATGCAGGGAATGCTTATACTTTTCGTGTGCTGCTTGAAGTGCACCTGTATTTTTCTACACCACCCAGGTAAATGGAAGTGAGTGAAAACTAATCCTTTTATAATCTTAATCCCGCAGCTGTTTCTCTAGCAACAGGACAAAAAATGCCCATCCGGAATAAAAACAATATGATGCTCTAATAAACATACCAGATTTATATCCATCTCCTAAATGTGAACAAATTAAGAAAAAGAACACTACTTCCTGGACAGGGAGATACACGAGCAGGACTGCTGGCAGTTTTCAATAGGACCTGAACGCTAATCGTAAAAGTTCAAGGTACAAACTGAGTTTTTGTACATGGCTATGAATCTAGTGAGGGGCAACAAGGGCAAGTGAGTGCGAAATACAAAGGGTATTTCACCTTTTTCAAGAGGGTGACATTACTTTGGGAACATGATCACTGTGCAGAGCCGTTACACAGATTCTCTTGGGAGAGAAGTAGAGTTCCCAGTCGCAGTCTGTGCTGGTTGACCTGCAGCGCAGTCTCAGCGTCTCCTCCTCGCTTGTGTCTTGCAGAACCTGCTGGCCTGTTTCCTCAGCGGCTCAGACAGCTTCACAGGGGACGCCTGCGAGGTCAAGGTGGCGGCTCCATCCCACTCTGCCTCCGCAGAGGCCGAGTACTGGAGAATACGAGCCATGGCTCAGCAGGTAGACACCGGGGCTGTGTTCAGACACTCAGTACTGGAGGATACAGGCCAGGGCTCAGCAGGTAGACACC